GAGAGTGGGGATATGAGGGGGATGAAAGAGATGCTAATGTCAGAGATAGGTTTCTGAAGCCATGCCAGCTGTGCCAATATATCCATAGCCTAGAAAGAAATCCGCTACTCTGACTCACTTCATCGAAAAATTTGAAGACGAATAGGTTGAAGTTCGAAATAATAAAAAGTCGATAGAAATCTGTCTGGGTGAATTGTTGCAGACAGAGAGGGAACAATTTATTCCCCGTGTTAAGATTCGTGCCTGGATAGGTAGGAAAAAGCGTCACCATGAGTTGCCTTCTCCTTGTACTCCACCCATGTCCTCTCCTCTCCGGCCCCCTCCTCCTCCTTCTCTGCATGATTTTGACATCAAGAGCTAGGGGTCTGTCTGCCATTGAGCCAATCCTTTTTTCTTTTTGTTTGTTTGGTTGAAGTGCGGCAGTCTTGAGATATATCCACAGGTGATGGCCCCAACATTGCTTGTTCAAGTGAATCATGAAAAGGCTCAAAGAGTTGAAATTGCAATTGAGAAAAGCGGACTCGTCACTTTTTGCTGAGTCCTATGATGCAGAAGCGACCTTGTTACAAAATCCCGTCAATGAATTCGATGGGGGCACGTATTCCATCTTTCATGCTCCTATGGATGTAACCCAACTAGGCCTGCTGACCACTTATCGCCTTGTGTTTTGCAGGATTGAGTGTCTCCCAGCATCATTTTGCCAACTCGTTGCACAGGTGAGATCTTCTCCCCTTCCTCTTCCATCTCCGGTGTTGTCTTCATTCTCAACTTTATTTTCCTTTTCAGCTTCCTCTTTATCTTCAGTGTTGTCGTCATTGTCGTCTTCATCTCTATCTTCATCGTTGTCTTCGTCTTTATTCATCTCAATCCTCATCTTCATCTTCGTCTTCATCTCTGCCTTCATCTTCGTCTCCATCTTCGTCTTCATCTTCGTCTTCATCTTCGTCTTCGTCCTTGTCCCGGTCTTCGTCTTCATCTTCGTTTTCGTCTAATTAACTAGACACCTCTGAGCATCAATCAGGATGAACTCTCAGCTCCCGTTCTCTATTCCCCTTTTTCTTTGCTCTCCACAAGTGGTTGGCTGGTGGGTCTGTCCAACTTGGATGTTTGGCCATGCTCACTGTCCGTCCTAGTTCTCAAAGGTCAAGTGCCCTCAAGGAGTGTCTATGGGACTCCATTGAGTTCGGTCTATGGCTACTGAACTCGATGCGCCCCAATCATGAACGTATACAAGCTATGGCCCCAATCATGAACGTATACAAGCTATGTTTCTGGTCCCCTACAGTGAGGATGAGGGGGTGTTGTTTTCGGGGGAAGACAGTAGGTTCTGGAAGCCCACATTTGATAGGGGGAGAGTTAACTCTTTAGCATTGGATTGTCACTGTTGGAATTTTTCCCTACTGCCAGGTACCTCCAGGTCCCAAATGATTGAGTTGTGGGGGGTTATTTTTGTACCATCTGATTGCGGTTGTTGGATTTCCCTACTGCTCGGGACCTGTAGGCCCCACTTAACTTCTTAGTACTTCTTGCCGTCTGATTGGTTGACTGCCATGCTGACAGATGGTTTGGGTACCAAGAGTCTTTCTTGACCAAGAGTCAACCGCTGACAAATTCTGTCTGTCAGTCAAACTGAGGCTCAGTCGGCGGTCAAATACTAAAGAGTCTTTTTTGACCCTTGGTCGTCTGACAAGCCAGACGTAACACCGTTGTTGCTAACAGTTAATGTAAGGCATGTACACTATACGTGCAGGTCTTCTTCTTGCCCTCAACCGCGTACCTGTAAGTTTGTATGCAACATTGACCTTCTTTTCCAGCACCTCATGCTTGTAGTATTTCCTGTGGCGTCGTGTATCCTTTAGACACCCCTTTCACACTTGCGAGTGCTGGTAGGGGCAATTCATAGGCACACACTGGGCGCTCATGTTTTTTTCCGATCGTGCTTTCTCGGGGCGATCAATAGTTACACAGTGAGGCTCCTCATGCCTGTTTACTAAGCACTCTATCCAACGGGCCTCAATTCTAAATTCCACCCCTCTCAGACACCTTGTAGACCCCACTAGCTACTCAGCCCTCTTCATGGCTTCATGTCGGGTTTAAATACCTCGAATAAATTGGAACCTTGTTGCTTGCTGGACTTTTTGTTTATCAACCCAATCCACAAAAAGGTGCATAGCAAGGTACATGCTGAAAGGTGATGTGGCAAGTGTCTCCCTCCTCAGCCTAATGAAAGAAGCATATTCGACTAGGGTATAAACCACCAGTACGTCCGAGCCAAACTTGCCTGGGGCTGCGCTTATTAAAAAAAAAAAAAAAACCGAACTGGCGCAGGCCTTGTTTTGGCTGGCACCGCCAGTCAGCTCCGGCGGCCGACCCCGAAAGTTGCGGCAGCATCCAAAGTGCACCAGAGAAAAATGGCTGGGAAACGTACTGGTTGTTGAAGGTTTACTCAACTTACTGTTTATGGTTTAGGTTTTACGGTACTGTTTACCGTTTAGGTTTATCGTTTACGATTTAGGGTTTAGGTTACCGTTTAGGGTTTAGGGTACCATTTAGGGTTTAGGGTTTAGGGTTTGGGGTACCATTTACGGTTTAGGGTTACTGTTTAGGGTTTAGGGTACCATTTAGGGTCAGGGTAACGTTTACTGGTTAGGGTTTACGGCATACATGCGGCACACTTGATACGCGGCAACACCGCACAGGGCACGTGGCACGCTCACCAATTGCGGCACACCCAAAAATCAAGGGGTCTGAAAAAATAACAAAAAAGTTCCGGGGGGTGGTTCCAGGAATGTCGGGGGGGCGGTGTATCAAGTTTTAACTACTCAGACCTCCCCGGTACCCTGGTAGTGTGCAGTTATGCCCCTTACCAATTGCCTTCAACTTTGCGGCGGCTGTTAATGGCCCGTCGTCGCCGCAGCCGTCGTCCTGCCATCTCCAGTGCAGGCGCCAGCTCGAGGAAATGGGAGGCAGCCGAAGAAACCAGCTGGATGAGCAAGGACGACTCTCCGAGGCTCTCAAGGTGGGTTGCCACCAGGCCCTCTGCCTTTCTGTCTCTCTCACCCCTCCCTCCCTTCCTCCCTCCCTCCCTCCCTCTCTCTCTCTCTCTCTCTCTCTCTCTCTCTCTCTCTCTCTCTCCGTGGAAACAATGTGGCTCCCTCCATCATCGTTCTCTTGCTCCTTCGTCTTTCCTCCATCCTCCTGTGTCCTTCCTCCTTTCTTGTCAATTCCCCATCGCTCCTTTCCCCATCGCTACCCCTCCTTCGTCATCGCTCCTTTCCGCAATCTTTTATTTTTTATTACACTCAGCTCTGAGCATCGTCACTCCTTCCTCCTCCCTCCCCCTTCGTCATCGCTCCTTTCCGCAATCTTTTATTTTTTATTACACTCAACTCTGAGCATTGTCACTCCTTCCTCCTCCCTCCTTCCCTCCTCCTCCCTCCCTCCATCCTCCCTCCATCCTCCCATCTACGTCTATCACTCTTCCTCCTATCGTCCATCGCCGCTCTTCCTCTGAGGTCCTCCCTCCATCAATCACTCTTCCTTCACCATAGTCGCTCCTTCCTCCCTCCTTCTGCAAGGAAGATGAGCAATAGCGAACTTCAGCAATCAAACAGCATCATACGCATGAGACCAGATAGTCGTGACCTCGAACCAAAAGCAGAATTGCATCACGAGTTTCACCAAATAAGAGCGTACCAAAAGCTCATAATTGACAATGCTGAAATAGTCTGATCATCATCAACGAAGAACCAATGTTGATATCCTATCTTGCGCTCGGCGCCCAGACTACGAATGGGAGATCCTATCTAGCCTAGCCTACAATGCCACTGATGACGTCAACAGCTTCCCAAGTACGAGCAGAGTTCGGCCAATGCCGCACGCGTCAAGCACCAGGTATGTCTCTCGTATCACTCACAACCTCGTTCCCCAACTCACAGATGCCACTTGCACCCAAGGACCACCATGCGCCCCACCCAGCATACAGCAGTGCAGCTCGGCTATGGCTGCCTGCTCCTTCCAGCTCGCCCGCAAGCGCGTGAGCCTGGCAGGCGATAGCGCAGCAGCGCTTGCGCACAAAGCAGCCAGTGCCCGAATGTCCAATGCGTAGGCAGGCCCTTCCCTATATCGAAGTGGCCTGCTGCTGCGTGCTGTGCTGTGGTACTGGGCCCGGGCCCAGAAGCTTCTGGTAGGCCCAGGGAGGCTGAGCCTCAGTCCGAAGCATGGCTACGATCCGGACCACCGGACAGGGATCCGGACCGTCCGTGGTCCGGGGTCCGGGGTCCGGGTCCGGAGAATGACCGGATGGCTGGATAATTGGGGGTAGCACAAATTTTTTTTTTGGGCCCCAGGTCATTTCCTTCCATGCTAGGCCACCGTGCAAAAATACTGGGCGTTTTTTCAAGGGCGGGGTCTGGCATCCAGACAGGGCCGGAAGGAGCCTCTTTCGAAAATTTGATGAAACCGACATGTTTTCTGTTTCGTAACTTCTGTTTCTTTCACGAAGCCCGTATCGTGCACCTTCAAATGCGCCTGTATATTCTTGGGATACTATGCTTAGTGCATTCCCCTCCAAACTCGAAGGGAAGCTGAAAAAAGAAAAAAAAACAAAGTGCCCATCTTCATTACCCCCCCTCCTTCCGCCGTCCTTCCTCCCTCCTTCGCCCGTCGATCTTCCACCCAATGTCCATCATCGCTCTTCCTCCCTTGTTCCTCCCTCCATCGATTTCCTTTGTCCATCGTCGCTCCATCCTCCCCTCTCCCTCCCGCCTTCCTCCCTAGTTCCTCCTCCCCCCGCCCTTCCGCCATCACTCTTCCTCCCATCATCCGTCGTTGTCGTTCCTGCCTGTTCGGCCCTCCATTGATCTTTCTTCGTCAAGACGACGGTAACAAGCATTCAGTTTTTTTTTTTTTTTTTTTTTTTTTTCGGTTGAAAAAGGGGGGGGGGGGGGGGGGGGGGGGRGGGATTGGTTTTCCGTTTTTGTTTTTGTTTTGGTTGTGGGTAAACAGCAGGGATGGGGTGGAGGCTGTGCCGGTTGGGGAGGGAGGGGGAGACGTTGGGAGGCGGGGTGGGGGCAGAGGGGTGGGGTTAAAGGGAGGGGGGGGCGTCCCTCCTTCGTTAGTTTTTTGTTTTTTCCTTATTGTGGGTTAGCAGGAGGAATGGGGCGGAGCCTGTGGAGTTTGGTGAGGGAGGGGGAATGTTGGGAGGATGGGGTGGGGGCTAAGTGGGTAGGTTTAAGAGGGACTGCCAACACAAGGGACTGACGCCAGGGCTGTTGGCCGATTGTGTGTGCGCAGGTCAAGACGTCAGCGGCCCTGGCGAAGCAGATTCTGCAGCTGCAATTGCTACCAATATTGTCAATCCCTCTGGACAAATAAATAAGGCCCCCTCTGGAAAAATAAATAAATAACTAAGGCCGTGCGCACCACACACACATGCGGCTGGTCTGCGCACACGCCCCAGTGCACCAGCGCACAGCGCACTGGGGAGCCGCGCACCGCATCCCGCATTGTGCACAGTGCAATGGGGTGCACGATGCGCAGCAGTGCGCGCGCACCTCTGACCTGCGCATTGTGCACAGCACACTGCACTGCAACGCGCACCAGGTACACATGCGGCTGGCCTGCGCACACGCCCCAGTGCACCAGCACACAGGGCACTGGGGAGCTGCGCACCGCATCCCGCAATGGGGTGCGCGATGCGCAGCAGTGCGCGTGCACCTCTGACCTGCACATCGTGCACAGCACACTGCACTGCAACGCGCACGGGGGCCATAGGCCGCAAGTATGGTTTACGGTTTAGGGGTTTTGTGGTTTAGCATATGCGGTTTTGTGGTTTAGGGTTTCTGGTTTAGGCAGCTCTGTGTCGCAAAAAATGATGCGATGACTAGGACGGTCCTGACTTGGGAGTTTGCACAAATTGCAAAAGTGACGTCGACTTGGGGAAACAACAGACTTCAGCGGAAGGGATATGATGCCAAGCTGGATGGGGATGTTCCTGCTCCTCTCTTCCTCCATTCGGATTATGTTATTGTCTTGAGAACCTCCATTCCAATGGTGGTGCAATTGAATCTCTGTACTTTGAAGTTTTGAAGTTTGAAGTTTTGAAGTTTGAAGTTTGAACCCATAATTGCAAACTCCTAGGTGGCCGGCGAATGACTATGTTGACCCGAAGATGACGTACGGTCATTATAGCGATATTTGCCATTTGGGGCAACTTCGAGTCTAGATACCGCAAGAATTACCATATGTGGTATTCTGGTAAACACAGTGTTCACTGGTGTATGGTACATCGGCTTTGTGGTTGAACGATAGAGCCATGTAGCTGGTGTTGGTAAACACATTATGTGTTCAAACTCCAAAGTTCGAACTTCAAATCCTGCTGGGTATAACGGTATCGCTGGTGTTCGGCTGGTGTTCATTGATGAATTGCGATTGCCAATTGGCTTTTGTGACAGGTTGAATTCTTTGACGACGCCCCGTGTAGGACAGCAGAGGAGATGAGGGAGCTACAAACGCTTTCCCGTCATGTCATGGATATGTGCGCGTCCATCAGTGTAAAGGTTAGTAGACTTAGCAAAATGTTCAGGCTTGGACTTTCCTGTATGTCTCGGATGGCAATTGCATCCAAATTCTGTCAAAAACTTCTTTGTGTGAGTGACTCTGGCAATATGCACTTACGTATCAACAAGAGCCGCACAACCTTCTGGCGCCGACTTTTCTTTTTCCCCCCAACGGCCCGGGCCCCACTGCAAGAAAATGAATACCCCCTCTTCCCGGAGGCCATCCCTTCTCCATTCCCTACACTTATAAAAGTTCGTAATGTGAGAATTTTGGGATCCGGGCCGTCCCCAGACCTACTGGCCCGACGGCTCGGATTTTGCCCCGCGATCTTAAGAATATAAGATCGCGTGGCGATCCAGGCCGCCGGGCCAGTACCAGTTGGCCAACGGACCAGATTAGAAGTTCGCAGCGCAACTGACTTAGGGCTGCCAGGCGTGGGGAGAAACCGGTTCCAGGTGGGCCGGTCTCCTATAGGGCGCACCGGTTCGGCCCCCGCACATATCTTCTGCAGCGTATAGCGAACAAGACAACATGCACTCACACAGCCGCCCGCCCGCCTGCTTGAACAAGCACATGCACAAACACACACATGCACGCACGCACACGCACAGACACACGCACAAACAGACACACATGCACGCACGCACGCAAATGCATCATGGGCAGACTGTTGGGGTTCAACCTCCTGATGAGTTGGTGAAAGTCCAACGAAACAGTGTGGCAGAGTCGTGCTTTTTTTGGGGGTTTCACACAAACACACAAACTGTGGGTGGGTGGGTGTGCACACGTGCGCGCTCGATAGAGAGAGAGAGAGAGAGAGAGAGAGAGAGAGAGAGAGAGAGAGAGAGAGAGAGAGAGAGAGAGAGAGAGAGAGAGAGAGAGAGAGAGAGAGAGAGAGCATTAGCAGGTGTTTTTAGAGAGAGAGAGAGAGGCGCATGTCATTAGCAGGTGTTTTTAGGGATTGAGCACTCGGTTCCTGCATTATTTAATACGTATGTGTGTGTGTGTGTGTGTGTGTGTGTGTGTGTGTGTGTGTGAGAGAGAGAGAGAGAGAGAGAGAGAGAGCTGTCTCTTATACACATCTAGATGTGTATAAGAGACAGTGCTTGTGCATTCACGGGGTAAGGATCTTCTTTGTGTGTCGAGTGATTCACACTTGCGCACACGGCTTCTTGGCGAGTTTCACGATGCGCCCGCCTCCGGACATTTTGGTGTCAACCGTACACTTGGCCGACTTCGCCAGCGGTTCTATTGGCCCGACCTTCTCAAGGACGCCACCCGCTATTGTGAGTCGTGCGAAGTCTGTCGGCGTTGCAAGTCACGCAACCATCATCCGTTCGGCGAGCTACACCCACTACCAGTTCCCCTTGGGCGACGGGAAGTGATTGCTATGGATATCACCGGCCCCTTCCCAAAGCACAAGACCGGCGTTGATGGGATCCTCACGGTCGTCGACCGCCTCACCAAGTACGCCATGTTTTTGCCTTGCCGCTATCACGCAAAGGCACCGGAGTTAGCTGAGGTCTTATACACCAGTTGGATTCACTCCAAGGGCTACCCCAAGGAGATCATTTGCGACCGGGACACTCGCTTTCTCTCCGACTTTTGGGTCGCCCTCGTCAAGCGATGGGGCTCATCTTTGAAGCCGAGTTCGGCTGGCCACCCGCAAACCGATGGTCGGACGGAAAGGGCGCATCTGACTGCTCAAGTCCTTCTACGCACTCTCATCCGTCCCGACCAGGTTGATTGGGTTGAGCGCTTGCCAGACGTTGAGTTGGGGTACAACTCATCGATCCATCCGGCTATCGGGATGTCGCCGTTCGAGTTTGAGCATGGTTCACCCATCTCATCGCCGTTGGACGCCATTTTGCCACGCACAGCCGAGAGCGACGACCATCTTGCGTTCCTTCGTCGCATGCAAAAGCTCCTTGTCAAGGCACGGGATCAGATGTCAAAGACGCAAATACGGATGAGCCGTCAAGCCAACCGCAATCGTCTCCCTTGCCCGTTCCGCGCCGGCGATCTGGTTTGGGTCTCCGCCGCGAAGTTCAGCCTTGAGCAAGACATCTCTCGCAAGCTCCTTCCCAAGTGGATGGGGCCTTGGCGCATTCTCTCTGCAGTTGGTGATGATCCCGAGGGGCATTCATTCCGCGTCGCGGTGCCACCTCACTTGCCCGTCCACCCGGTGTTCCACTGTTCCAAACTCACTCCTTTTGCTTCAGCAGAGTCCGACGAGTTTCCCGGCCGACGTACGCAAGACCCTCCTTCCATGGACGGATTTCAGGAGGCCAGCTATATCATCACCGAGCGGCGCCATGGCAACAAAGAGATGGAGTTTCTACTTCACTTTTCCTACTGCCGCCACAAGGCTGACCGTTGGCTGACGCGTTCGGAACTGCAGGCCACAGCCCCCGCCGTTCTCTCACGTTATCTTAGCAAAGGGAAGACTACGCCGAGCACCCCAGCTCCTCGCCATCCTTGCTACATTCCGCCATCGGATCGGCAGCTTCGCCCGCGCCCCGGCTCGTCTTCATAAGGAGGGGGGCGTGTTACATGCTGAGAGCCTACACACGGGCCCCTCACGGGACCCGAGGTTGGAATAGGGCCCCCAGGTCGCGTCACGGCAACCTGAAGGCCCTACGACATTTTTACTTGGGCCTGCATCAGAAAAACGCCAGCTTTAGATTATTCTTATATTTTTATTTATTGCTGTTGTTTTTCTAACGTGTGTGCTGTTGTCCGTTTGTGGCCAGGTACACGTTTCGGACCAGGGCCGGATTCAGGCCCAGAGGCTGAGCCTCTAAAAACGTTTGGACCTTTTTTTGTTTTCCGACAGATTTTGGACCATTCGGACCTGGACCGACGTTCAGGCCCGATGCATTCGCACAGGCCCTGAATCGGACTAGGTACCGAACAGGCCCAGTCCTGTGCAGGGCCTGGACGTCCGTAGGGACCCAGGCAGGCCGTTTTAGGCCAAGGACTGAACCAAGTCTGAAGCCTGCGATCTGGACCGTGGATCGGATTTCGATCTGCACGGTCCAGAACGAAGGCCGTGGACTCACTGGGTCCGGCCCAGTGCTACTTAAGCTGGGCCAGCGCCCAGTTCTGGAGGGAGAACACAAGGAGAAACCCAGCGTTACGCTGGTTCAGGATTTCGCCTGCTGCGCTATGTTGGAGCTGCTGCGCTATTTTGGAGACCGCCGGCTGCGCTATTTTGAGGCTGCCGGCTGCGCTGTTCTTCAGCATCGTGGCCCAGCACTGGAGGAGTCCAGCGCCGAGGAGGTTAGCGGAGTTCAGAGAGAGAGAGAGAGAGAGAGAGAGAGAGGGAGAGAGAGAGAGAAGAGAAGCTTACCTGTCGCGACCTACCAGCGCCATAGCTGGGCTCTCGCGGTACCTGCAGTCAGCACCCAGGTAAGTAGGAACAGAAAGCGCCTAGCTTTCTTCTTCTTCTTCTCCGTCTTCTTCTTCTCCTCTCCTTCTTCTTCTTCTCTTCTTCTTCTCTCCTCTTCTTCTCCTACTCCTCCGAATTCTTCTTCTTCTTCTTCTTCTTCTTCTTCTTCTTCTTCTTCTTCTTCATCAAAGTAGAGATAGAGGTAACTGCAGACATTGTTTGGACACGGCATTCTGCCTTATTGGACACGACATCCAGATCGGACTTGTACTCTACATTGGGATTGAACTGTGTACGACATTCGGAGATCTCTCTCGCATGTCTATGGATCTCTCCCCATGTGTGTGAGCGGAAGGGCAATCTTTCTGATGTCTTGCCCTTCCGAAGTTTCTCCCTTGCATGTTTGTCTGTCCTTGTGTCCCTTCATTATTAAGACTTCCGCTGTGCTGCTTCCCAGCSCATGATGATGATGATGCAAATGTGTTGTTGTTGATTTCTCGTCGGTTCACTCCTTGCATTGTGCACATTGGCATCTTGTGAATGTTGCATCTATGCTGCTGGTTGTTGCCACTTTCATCATTGCTAGATCCTAGGCTCTCGGTGCATTTTACTTCCTCATATGCTACAGAGAGAGAGAGCATAGCGCCCGTGTGTGGAAGCAGGTGCGTGCGTGGACAGTGCACGCCAGAGAGAGAGAGAGAGAGAGAGAGAGAGAGAGAGAGAGAGAGAGATGGGCGAGGGGGAAGGGGCCCGGGGGTAGGGGGTAGGGTTAGGGGAAATTCGGTGGCAGGTGGGGGAAGGTGAAAGTGCGCCGTGTGACACAGTCTGTTTTTTTGTTTCCTTTTTTTTCCGTTCCGTTTCGTTTGTTTCCTTTCTTTTCCTTTTTTTGGTGTACGTATGTGTGTGTGTATGTGTGTGTGTGTGTGTGTGTGTGTGTGTGTGTGTGTGTGTGTGTGTGTGTGTGAGAGAGAGAGAGAGAGAGAGAGAGTGTGTTACATGCTGAAAGCCTACACACGGGCCCCTCACGGGACCCGAGGTTGGAATAGGGCCCCCAGGTCGCGTCACCGCAACCTGAAGGCCCTATGGCATTTTTACTTGGGCCTGCATCAGAAAAACGCCAGCTTTAGATTATTTTTATAGTCTTTATTTTATTTATTTGCTGCT